CTGCTGTGTGCCTCCAGGTTGGCTACTCAGCCTTGCTGAGTCTCAGTTTGTTCATCTGTTGAATGGGAATAAAAGCGAACACGCGGCTGTTGCAAGGCTTAGGAGAGAGAACACATGTCAAGCGCTCAGCCAGGTCAAAGGCCGTCTTACCATTTCATGTGTGTTTCATGGCGAATTTTAAAATGTGAGATTTATGTTTCCCGAGGTATGGGACCACTTTGTGCATCTCCTGGTATTAATAGACACAGAGAACCGCAGAACTGGAGGGAGCGTAACGATGAGTTAGTCTAACACGTGCTCTGGTCTCGCAGGAGTTTGTTAATGTTCACAAGTGAGGGACTGAGGCCCAGAGCAGGTTGACAGCGGCCCTAGTCTGGATTCATCCTACCACAGCCCCTACTATGTACAGGCAGCGCATAGTAGGGCCTCGAGATGAGGGCGACTGAGGGGACACCTGAGTCCAGGAGACCCTGGCTCAGCGCCCTGGTCGGTTCAGATGGGACACAGCCCCGTTCGTCTTTCCTCCACCTTAAATGGAGAGGATCATACGCTGCCGCCTCCCTGCCTCCTGGACGTTTCTCGGTAGACTGTGTCCCTATTTTGTTAGCTTCATCCGACTGCCTCAGCCTGGCAGGACCGGGCGGGAGGGTGTTAGCTGTTTAAATCAGTGACTTGGGGTGAGCTCTTCAAACTCAGGGGTGAGAACGCTCAGACTGTGCTTGCAGACCAATCCCCCGAACTCCGTTTATCCCTGGGGCTACGAGGGCCGGTCGTGGGCAGGGATCAACGAGCGTTTCCAGGAGGTCAGGGCTTTCACATTCAGGCCGGAAACTTGTCAGGAGCAAAGGCAGAAGAAGACAAAGCATCACTCCTTGTAATGGCAATTACCTTAAGGAACTTTCTTCGCCAGGCGGGAGGGATGGCCGGGGTGGCCGTTAACTTGCGGCCTCAGTGGCTGCTACTGAGTGAGGCTGTGAAGCGGGGGCTGAAGGAGGCCACGGCAGCTGCAGCCCCGCGGCTTAATCGGTTCCACGTCGTGCATTCATTCATACCTTGTCTCCACTTCAGATCTTTTCTGAAAGCAGGCAGGGTATAAATTAGAAATGAATTGGTAAATAAAATATTTGATCAAAATGGACAAGTCACACCAGCAGGGGAAATACTGCAGTAGGATGTGATTAAAACCCCTCTTTTTTGGGGCGGTCAGGAAAAATAGTGGTAACGGAATTGAAATGTTCAATCCCAAGGAGGGATTAATAAGGACCAAACCACCAGGGCAGACCCCATTATGTGTTAGCCAAGGAGAGGATGCCGTGTGTCTCGGACCTCCTAGATACCTGGGCAGAGGCTAAGTGAGGACCGGACAGGACCCTGGTTACACAGGTGGGAAACCGTCAGCCTTGTTCTCATTCCGGTTCTGGCGCCAGTTAACCAGATCTTGGGAAGCAAGTCCTTCTCAGGTCTTCGGTCTTTTCTTCTGTACAGTGGCCACAGGAGAGGGATAAAGAGGAAGAATCAGGAACATGGATCCAGCCTCTATTTAAGATTTTGACGCCGTCTTCATCCTGGATACTTTGCCATAATTTTGATTTTAAAAAATCACACATCACCTACCCAAAAGAACGTAAAGCAAGCTCCCAAAGACGTATTTGTACATCCACGTTCATAGCAGCATTATTCACAGTAGCCAAGAGGTGGAAGCAGCCCAAGCGTCCACTGAGGCATGAATGCGTAAACGAACCTGACGTATCCGTACAGTGAAGTGTTGTTCAGGCTTAAAGAGGAATGAAATCTGACGCAGGCTATGACGTGGATGAACCCTGAGGACACTACGCTAGGTGAAATAAGACACACAGAAGAGCAAATAGTGTATGATTCCACTCCTATGAGGCACCAGAGTAGTCAAATTCAGAGAAACAGAACGTAGATGGTGGTCGGGATGGGCGGGGAGTTGTTGAAGGGGACAGAGTCTCTGTTTGGGAGATGGAAAGAGTCATGGGAACTGGCCGCACATGTAACATGACTGAGCCGGGCACTTAAAAATAATTCCGATGGTAGATTTTATGTTGTGTCTGTTTCACCACATTTCTTAAAACGTCTCACACTTCAATATTATTTATCTGGACTGAGTTGCTCGTCCTGGCTCCCTTACCTCAGGGGATCTGATGAATTTTAGAAAGCTGAGAACGTGAGAGCGTTATGGAACCTCAGGGTTGGATGATTTTTCCGTTTGTGCCCGTCCCGCTTGGCTGCTAACTGCCCGCCTCAGAGCCAGTGGCGCGGTGTCCTGCTGCGGGCCCGTCGGCAGGCCCCTGGCCGAGCGCTGCGGTGAAGCCCGGGGCCGCCCCGAATCCTGAGCCCCACCCATCACAACGTCCTTCCCGCGAGCATCGGTGAGCGGACTGGAGACAAAAAGACGTCTTCCCTCAGTGGTTTCGTTGATCTCTTTGTTTTTCAGCGCTGGGCTCTGTCGAGCTGTCTTCTTCCCACAGCAGAAGCTGGAGCAGACGCGGCTGTGTGCCGCCCGGCTGGAGCAGAGCAGTTCCAGGCCTGCTTACATGTCTCTCGAAAGAGCTAGACGCTGGGAAACCAATGTATTCTGCGATGGAGCGGAATATTCAGTGGATATTCCACTCGGAGTGATTTTGGCTGCTAAAAATACAGCTATGTAGGTGGAAATACAAAACGCACACCAGTCTAATTCCCCTAAAAGTAATAATAACAATAAAAACAATAATACTGGACTCCAAAATGGAGTTTGTGGGACGACAGCACCCTTCTTACTCACAAAACCGTGGCCCCAACTCCCAGGCTGGCGTGGACGCTGATCTCCTAGCCGCTCATCCGGAGCAAGTGGCCCTCAGGCTCTACCTGTGTATCCTCGGGACGCGTCCCGCCCTTGGCTGCAGGACCAAGCAGCCTCCTCTGGGCCTTGCCCGCCACCCGCCCTTCTCGGCAGCGCCCACCCTCTGATGTCACCCCTGCTCTCCTTGACCCTTTCAGCTTCACAGCCACGCACGGGCATGTGCACGTTCCCTGACTCAAAAGCAGGCTGGGCTGGGCTCTGTCGGCCCCTCCAAGCGCAGCCCGGAGCCCTGAGATGTCAGAGGGCGATCTTCACCAGCCCCACCATGGTCGCTACCCAGACGCCCCAGCCTCCGGCTCCTCCCTTCTAAATTGTTCTCAGCAGAACGATCGAGTTGCTTTCCTCTCAGTTTACAGATGCGAACAGTTAGGGGTTAATAAGCTGGCTGGTGAGAGTAGTTACTTCAGTTACTGGCCTGACGTGGCAGGCCAGTCTTAACCCGGCCTGGAAGCGGGAATTAGCCATCGGAGGGGTGTGGCTGTGTCTTGGTGGACTCGCTCCTGGACCAGATTCCAGCCAGGCCAATCCCAGCCCTCCTCTCCATGCCACCTTGGCCTAGAACGATGCGAACAGACACTAACACAGTTTCTAACAGCTCAAGGCCGCACCCCTAGGATGACCCCAGCCCCCCTTGAAGTGTCTGCCTGAGAAAATTCAAGGTTGCCTGAAGAGTTTGCTGTTTGTTCCAGCCAACACCCGAGGACAGGGCCCTCGTCTCCGAGCCTCTGTTAGCGGGTCAGCGCCTAACTTCGATCATCTCCAGTTCGCCCAGCCCCTTCCAGCCCTTCGCGACCTTTGGCTTCTCTGACTCTGTGCGGCCCTCCTCACCCCTCCCTCGCTCACCCTTTAAACCTCCCGGTCACCTCTGTGCACACAGTTGGTTCAATTCATCCCAGACTCTTCCTGCTGCAGCAGTGCCTTACTGATTAAAATCTGTCCTGACCACTTTAACTGTGGCCTTGTTTATCTTTGGCAGTTCTGATAAAACCTTGCTTATGGACACTGAAATTTGCATTTCATGAAATTTTCACATCACAAAATCTTTTTCTTCTTTCGATTTTTCTTGACTATTTAAAACTATAGAAACCATTCTTAGCAGGCAACGGGCCCCAGTTGACCCACGGCCGGTGGTTTGCTGCCCCTTCTCTGCAAGAAAGGTGTTGACGTGGACCCCTGGTGCATGGTGAAGGTAAAGGGCAGAGGGGTCCTCTCTGCACACCGTGTCTGACTTACCATCTCTGAGGGCTGGCCAAGTACGGTGAGGTTTGAAGGCGCAAGGGTGTAAATTATGAAACTCCAGTGGCCCTATGTGTCTAGCTGCTAAGCCCTCCTTCCTGATGTTCATTGCAACAAAAAGCCAGTGTCTGAAATCAGACCCTTGCAGCTGTGCGGCTGGAGTGCCGTGTTAGCACTGGGATGCCTAGCGTGCTGGGAGCTCTGGAAATAACCCTCTGTATTTTTAACGCCCTTGGCTAGTCAGACCGCCTCTGGTTTCTCCCAAAGACAACCCCAGGGCCCAGAGTTACCAACTGTAATTCAGAACCTCTAAGTCTTGCTGCTAAGCAGACCCTCTGTCCCTCTCATCCCCACAAAAGTCCTCAACATCCCCGGGGGCTATGCCTTCACTTCCCCTGCTGGGTCAAGGGGCCCCTGGGCTGTGGTCAGGAACCCAACAATTTCTTCGCAAGGCCAAGGAAAAAGCAAGATTTTGAAGAGGTTTTATTTCAAGCCACAGAGTCTAACCAGTTAAAAACTGCTTGTTGGGTCTCCCAGAAGCCAAGGAGGGGTTGTTCGGGTCACCAGGAAGGAAAGAGGGTCTGGCCATTCGCACAGCTGGACGCCCAGAACAGGTAGACGGCCCACAGAGGACAGTTGGTGGGCTTATCGAGGACAGCCGGGCACTCCAGCGGGAGGTCGGGCCTCTCCAGGCGCCTGTGCACCTGCCTTCCACCTGCACGGGGCAGGTCTGGGCCACCGCCACTTGCGGGCTTCACCACCCAGAGAAGTGCTCAGACAGGGCGAGCAGCTGTGCTGCGGGGGAAGGGGCAGGTGGGAACGGGGAGAAGTAACGCTCCCGCCTCCTCAAACGTTCTGGGCTGGGCTCGGCTTCCTTGGGGACAGGGGCCCAGGAGGGCTAGTGCTCGGGGTCGGCGTCCATGCAGGACTCCCAGGGGTTCTGGGGCATCCGCGGCAGGGAGAAGAGCAGGAGAGCCAGGCCGCCGAGGAAGAGGAGGCCGAAGGCCGCGCAGGCGCAGGCGAAGGACCAGGAGTAATAGTACTTGATCCAGACGGTGTCCTCGCTGTCGACCATGCGCTTCACCGACTGCCGTGTGACCTCCACCGAGACGAAGATGCAGAGACCTGGGGGCAGAGCTGGACTCAGGGCCCCGGGCGCCCCCCGCCCCGCGTCAGCTGGGGCTTCCGCGTGGGCTTCAAGGTGGAGACCCCGCCGGGGGAGAGGCGGGGGCATGAAACGGCCCCGAGACCGAGGTCCCGATCGGGAAGCTGCAGAAGTGCGCCCTTTCGTCCCTTCTTTCCTTAGCACTATTTTAAAGTTAATTTAAATTTTTGTTAGTAATTAGCATCCTCCCCGCCTTGAGGATTGTCTTGGTAAGAAATGGACAGATTGCCGAGATCTGCCCCCTCCTGGCCCACCGGCCCTGGCGGAAGCCCTGGGCAAGCTTGCCCCTGGGTGGAACCTGGGAATCTGTCCACACCCAGGCCCCAGGTAGGCATGAGAACGGGGTCGAAGCATCCCCCCAGACCCAGCACCCGGACAGGAGCCCCCGTCCTACCCGCAAAGGCGAAGAACATGGACGCTGGCCTCAGCAGGTAGTCGCGCTTCTTCCCAAAGGACAGGAGCACGCAGATGGTTCCCGCGATGGTGAAGCCCAGGCTGAAGACGGCGATGGCCGCGGCCGAGATGCTATACTCTGTGGCACACAAGGGGGCAGGGATGCCGGGACCTCAGAGGGGCCTCATCCCCTGCACCTTTCGTCACCACTGGCTGTGCCTGCAGCCAGGTAAGTGAGTACCACATTCTACTATTCCCTTTTCCCAGGTGAGGAAACTGAGATCCGAGAGATTAAATCACTCCTTCAGAGTCGCACAGTGGCTAAGGGGTGGGACCAGGATGTGCACACGACCTAATTCCTTCTCGCAGGTCAGACACCAAACTGAAGTTCCTCCCTCCAGGGGCAGAGGCCTCGGAAGGAAGCGTGAGATCTGCGGCTGGAGACCTTTCTGGAGCAGAAACCTTCCTCCGAGTGTCAGGGCAGAAGGTGGCACCCAGGCTGGCGTGGTCTGTCCTGGGACTGGCAAGCAGCCTCTGGACGGATGACGGAGTGTGGCTTGTTGCAGAGCTCAGTGCCCAAGAGGATCTGCGCGTGTGCGTGTGTGTGCGCCGGTGCATATGTGCGCATGCGTGTGCATGCGTGTGCATGCGTGTGCATGCGTGTG